AAAAAAAAAAAAAAAAAATGTTTTAAGCTGTGACATTGCAGGAATAAACTTATAACCTTCTGAGGTGAATTCTTTAAACAGACTTAGATTATCCATTCTATGTATAATTGTCACAACTAGTTTTACTGCTTTATAGCCAATTCTTTTGACTCTCATCACTTAGGTTGAAGAAAAAACTCCACAGTAGTCACTAAAAGTTTTTCTTCCTGGTGCTAACAAGAGTATAACTAGAATGTTTCATTATCATCTCTGTTTATGTTAGTCTATGGTAGGAATTCTCAAGTGAAGCCTGTGGCAGCAGACCCAGAAGAGTAGTGAAAGGGATTAGGGAGAACCACATTTTTCTTAATTCTTACCCCATGCCATTAAAGAAAAAAAATTTTTTTTACACCATTTTGATGTGTTTTAGCAAGGTTTTTATGCTAAAATGATTTTTATTTCAAATGTCATTTGATTTTCAGCGTGGCTTTGTGACAGGTGGTGCAGATAAATCTGTCAAGTTCTGGGATTTTGAGTTGGTGAAAGATGAAAATAGTACCCAAAAGAGGTGAGTAGACATTTTTTGTGTCCGTTTTTTTTGGAATGAAAATGGGGAGCCATTGAATGGCCTTTTGACTTATGTGTCTCTGTTGTACTCTAGAGAGTTAGGAATCATCTGTGTTTGTATACTAATTTGTTTATTTTTTTCTTGATGTTTTCTGTGGTGTCAGACTTTCTGTGAAGCATACTCGAACCTTGCAACTAGATGAAGATGTTCTGTGTGTCAGTTACTCTCCCAATCAAAAGCTGTTGGCTGTGTCTTTGCTGGACTGTACTGTGAAGATTTTCTATGTCGACACTTTAAAGGTATAGTGATCGTGCCTGGGAATGTTTTCTTTCTTACTAGCCTTAAGAATTTAGGTTAAGACTATAAAGAAGTGGCCTTGCCTGTGCCCAGGAGTAGTATGTTTCTAAAAGTTTGTGTGCAAATCAAAGCAATGTAAGTGCACTAGAGAAGCTAGAGTTTTTTAAAAAAATTCTAAGGTTCATAAATTTTATTTAAAGTAAGTTATATTTTACATGTTCAGGAAATCTTGTGGACAGAAAATTTTGTCATAGCCAGTCATATTAAGAGCATTGCTGTGTGTCCTAGGCAGTGATTTCATACTTGACTATACATCAGGATAGTCTTTTGGGTTGCTTTTAAAATCCAATCATTTGGGTTACTTTTAAAACTATACATTACTAGGCTTTACACCCAGAGTTGGTAGGACTAGGTTGGGCCTGGGAATATTTTTGTGAGACAAGTGCCCCAGAGTCTTCTCAGTGAAGAGATCAGAGAACATCTCTGTACCATATTCTGACTGAGGCCATAAGCTTCTGGGAGCCTCTTTGCCTCCACTATATTGCAGTATTCTTGGCAAGTGCATGCAGGATATGTATAGTGGACAAAAGTACTCTTAACAAGCTGTCTTTAGTGGCTTAATTATCATCTTTGAAAGTATAGACATAAGGTAATCCAAAAATGTGTTTAGTCTTATATTCTAAAGTTACATTTTAGACCCACATGTAATAAATTGTACTTATATTTCATAGACAGACATGAATTATTTATGTTCTTTTTTTCAATGTTTAGTTTTTTCTCTCACTTTATGGACACAAACTGCCTGTTATATGCATGGACATCTCCTATGTAAGTAAAGTTTAAATAGTGTCCAGTAACATGTTGTCTTTCTAAAGCAGACATTTTCTTAGTTCTTGGCTTGCTGTTTCCATTTTAGAGTATTTATTTTTTTATCATTTTGTTGTATATCTGATTTTTTCCAAAAAGTTACAAATTAATGTATCTTGAATATATATGTTACTTTTAATGTTTTCAGAATAATTTTACAAATATCTCAGTTAATCCTCCTAACTCCCAACTTCTTTTTTGTTGTCTAAAATATTTTAATTGGGAGAGTATCCTAGAATATTAAAGACTTTTTAAAATGTATTCCCTTTTGTTCTGAAGGATAATATTGGTGAGGAGGAAGGAATTGGCTTTATAGTTGGTTATTTATGATATCTTGCACTATGTATACTTTTAGTCTCTTGACTAAAATAACTTTTTGCCAATGTCTAGTTATGATTAGGAGTAAATTGTATATTTAAAAACAGTGTCTATTTTATGTGAAAGGAATTGGCCTCATAGCTGTCTGTGATCAGTGCACTAATAGTTAAGTTACAGTGTTAAACGTTTCTAATTTTTTTGTTATGTTAACAACCATTTGAACCAAACATTAAAATAAGAAAGATATTAGAAATAATGATAGGGAATGTGGGATACAAGCTAGGTCATAAACATTCTAGTAGATTCTTAAGTAGCTCTATAGGTAAAAGTAAAGAATTAAATGTTCTTAGTAGAGA